GTCCAAATTTTGGCTTATGCGCATGCCCGTAATTGAAGTTTTGCTCAATTTTGTACCTAATCCTCGAAAAAGCTCTCCTTTTAGCAAAAAAAAAAAAAAGCTTTTGTAGCACAACTTAGGCTTATTTAGCGTCATGGCAGCTAAAAAACCTGACTAAACGGTTAAAAACGGTATGTTTTGGCAAACGTTTGGTATTCAAAGGGTTAAAGGCACCTTTTAGATTGGTGTAATAAATACAAATGTAAGGGATCCCCGGGAAAAAGGTACAGAATACTTCCTGGGATCTCCGGCTAGTGTTGCTAAAAATTATCAAGACAACTGTAATAAGAAAGGGTGAACGCCATGCCATGTATTGTAGAAGAGTAAACAAGTCACTGTTATGAATCAAGGCTTCAATCTAAGTTTTGCGTGAAAGAATAGAAATGAAATCTACCTCTTTTTCCTCTCTCAAGCTGTTCAACATCACAACTGTGCCGATGTCATACTGTGATATCATACGCCAGAAGTCTTCAACAGTGTTGTTTAATGGCGCTTGAGTCAGGATATACGCATTGCGTTGTATGTAGTCCTAATGCAGGATGAATGGAAATTATCAACTAAAGAAAACACATTTTAATACCGCCACCACACTACAGCTTTTCGGTAATAAAACTAAATAATTGTAGCAGCACGTTTCCTGCCTCGTTTATTAAAAAGCAGCTAGTTCGGGCGCTCAAATAGACACCAGCGTGGTATCGTCAGTATTTGCAATTTTAAGAATATCACAAATTAAACTTCTTTAATAATAAAAAATTCCAGAATTAAACTCAACTAGTCGTCAACCCACCCCACCCCACCCTAGCTATCCACCCTAGAGATTTTCTTTGGTCAAAGGATTCGTAATATTTGTTTTCCAGTAACATTTAGTGCGAAGGCTGCCAGGAATTGACCTGCTGTCCTAACACTGCCACAATTAACAGCTCAGTTGCCTTTACCCAGGCTATTGTAACTGGTTTTTTACCTGAATCAATGATCAACAACTCCATGTAATTAAAAGATGTCTCGCTGCATGGCAAGGAGACAAATATCCCCTGAATCGTTCACCGACAAGTTGATTTATGAAACTGAATCTGCTTATTTTACGCGTGCAAATTAACTTGATTGATCTCACAGTGCCTCTCTCCACCCAGGTGTATAAATGGGTACCGGCGAACTTAATGCTGNTATTTAAGTAATATATCAAAAACGAGAGGCAGTGTTTCATTGGGTTATCCAAACACCGAGAAGAGAGTTGAAAAAACGACGCGCAGCGGAGTATTTTTGACGAAATTCGAGGTGTTTGGAGAGCCGATGAAACACTGCCTTGAGTGTTTGTTATATCTTCTCAATCAAAACAAAAACTAAGGAGTAAACGGAGAAGTAATATCGTCAAAATCTATGCTAATTAAGGCCGGGTATCCAAACCTCTTTCACGGTTGTGATTTTCTTTATTTTAACATGATGTATTATCAATGAGTTTGAGAAACATGGATATCTCATCCTCCCTCATGTATTTGAAGAATTTGTTACATCAAATAAAAGGAATTGTTTATTGCGTTCACTTACATCGACAAAAGAAGCGTTGATGTAATCCTTCGCTGGATCAGATGACCTCAGGAACACTCGAGCACTATCCACTAGTATAATAACCAATTGAGATAACAAATGTCATAAAAAATAAATCTACACTAGACAGTTTACTTCTGTAGTAATAGGACTACGCTGCTAAGCTCTACATTCGCACTATCTGTAGATATTAGAATAGAAATTAAGACCACAAAATATCAGATTTATTATCACCGTTATTCGCCTGGCATTATTGTTCCTAATGTAACTACGTTGTCATTTTGAGGTTTTCGTCAGTCTGAAGACATCAGAGAACTTAAGAAAACCACGACGGCAACGGCAACGGCAACGAGAACGCCACAAAACAGAAGGTTTAATCGGTAGAACAATGGCTGTGCACGTGCGTTATAAATCTAGGTACATTTCTTTGCCGTCCTCTGCAAAACAACAACGTGAAATGACTAAGTTCTGCGTATTATGGAGAACGCGAACGACGGCGGCTAAGTTTCCGTCTTTTGAACCCTGGCGTTACATATTTAGCTTGAGCAAGTTCTGAGACAAACAGACGCACTGAACAGACCTCGACAATTCTAAGGTCAGATATAACTTCATTTTTTCCTAGGCGTTGTCCTCGGGGTCGCCGTCGTCATTGCTTAAGTTCTCTATTTACGTGAACTGCAAAATCACTAGTACATTATCGCAATATCAAAGCCTATGAAAATCAATTTGAAGGTAAGGCAAGGCAATACTTACATGGTACAATGTTAGGAAACCTGTTCTTTTTAATATTTGATGGCTTAAATGCTGCCACTGATTCTTCTCCTGATGCTTGGCAGTCACTGACAAGTTGCAGACGCTAATAATACAAAACAAATGTCTAACGTCATCGTTTGTCTCTGTTAAAAAAATACAAGTAGGTGACTAAGAAAAACAAGCAGGACATCAGTGAAAAATTGGAAACTGGAAGAATTTTAATTAAAGTACCTTGAATTCTCGTTCATATCCAGTTTGTTTAGAAGATTTATGAGTTCTGGCAAGCTTATTCATTGCGATTCTCAAGTCCTGAGGGGCAACCTCTGTATTTCCACAGGTCAAAGCTTCCATCACTGCTTGATGCAAAAATACATACTGCTCCTATACAAGAGAGATAACATGTAGGTTATGAAAGCACTGGTAAGAATAGCTGTTTCCCATCATCGACAAAGTCAGTGTCATTGTCTACTTCCTCGTCATCATAGCAGTAACCATACGTAGTGTAGCTTTGAAATTGAAAGTCCAAATGTTATTGAAAGGCGCAGTAACCATACGTAGTGTAGTACGACAGCGACAATGAAACACGCGGACACGCGGACTCAAAAATTCAAAGCTCAACCGACAAATGCGTTTTTCCCTACCGTCAAGCAAATGTTCGGCGGCTCCTCCCAGCTTCCGACTATGTTGTCTGAGCTGTGCTCAACGATTTGATTTGATTACCGCGCGCTCGGCAGTAGTCGGAGCTGATTTCCGTTTCGTAAACAGTCGATGCCATCATCGGTAACCAAGCCTATCAGAATGGACGATGTCATACCTGCTTTAGTATAGGCCAGGACAAGGTAGAAAACTTGTTTTAATTTGTTGATTGAGTATAACGCACTCGTCAAATGCTTGATTGTTCATATTCACACTGGTTTGCTTGCGGTTAACTTTTATTTGATGGTTGGGGCAACTCTATCATTAATATTTAAGAAAGTCACGTTTTATAATTAAATTTTGCAGAGATTTGGAGAATCAACCTGGTAGTGTAGTGGTAGAAGAGGGATGTTAGGAAACAGAGGTTTCGGGTTCAATACTGAGTGGTTACTTACAAATTTTCTTTTTTCTTTAATTTCGTAGAGAAAAATTCGTTGATAGTTAAAAAATTTCTAAGTGTCGCGAAATTGGCATCGACCGTTTACGAAACGGACAACTGCGTAGTCGGAAGCTGGGAGGAGCTACCGAATATTTGATTGACGGTAGCTAAAAACGCATTTGTCGGTTGAGCTTTGAAATTGAAAGTCCGAATGTTATTGAAAGGCGCGGTAACCATACGTAGTGTAGTACGACAGCGACAATGAAACAACGAGGAAAACGACAGCAACAACGACAATAACAATAAGAAAAACGACAAGGAAGAAAACAATAACGAAAACGACATTCGCGATGACGAAAATAACAAAGATAGCAACAGTGACAACGAAATTGACCACAACAACAACAACAAAGATGACAAGAGCCAGACAACAGCGATAACGATGGCAATAGTTATAATTACGACAAAAGCAATATCGAGAGACAACGATAGTGACAACAATGGTGATAATTGACGACGAAAATGGCGAAAACGATGAAAAGATCTTAACTCTTGGCAATTACATGTACTCCTAATTGCTAAGCAACAAAATTATTAAAGCTTGCTTACCTCCTTCTGCACCATATGAGGGCGACATCTCCGCATCACTTGAACATAATTCTGAATGAACACGCTCTTCTTCTCCTTGGCACCTTCCAACATGGCGTCAATGGCAATGTACGTACCAGTTCGTCCAACACCAGCACTGGTATTAAAACAGATGATTCATCAACAAATGGACTTGATTTATTGGCATCAGCACGCCAGTGTCATAAACCCATCTAATAAAGCAGGATTTTCTACCGTTTTCTAAAAGTAACAGTCCTCTACATTACGTTTTTAGTATATGTATTCCTACTGAGGGGCTGTTAACAAACAGGCAAAAAAAAATGCAATTGTTAAAGATCTTGTCTCGAGTAAAATCTTGGTATAACACCTGTATGACAGAGGCCTCTTTCGTGATACCCTCTCCGTATAGATTGACAGTTCGTAAATTGGCAGAGAAAACAAAGAAAGCGTGGGGAAATGCTGGGAAGAGATTACATATCTTGTTCCCCGCGCGCCCTCCCACATCCCTTACCAACTTTCCCACCTCTAGGAAGCCTCTGCGGAGGAGAGAGAGAAAGATATAGCTCGTTAATTCTGAATACCTGCAGTGCACGACGAGTGGGCCGCCAGTAGCCTGGTGTCTAGTATGAACCTTCCATCTAAATCCCAGTAGTGCTGTAGAACGCCGTGGAACACCCTTGTCTGGCCAAGTAATGTAATGAAATTGAAGAACTTCTCGTTTTCCTGATCCCTAAGTAGCAAAAGGCTTTTTTGTAGCATTATCTGTATACGTACCAAACGTTGTTTTGTATGTCTCTGCTCTCTTTCAAACGTAACCTTCTATTGTTGATCTGTTTGCTTGTGATATGTTTTTGTTACTCCTTGGTAGTGGAGCAATGAGTTTCCTCATCAAAATCGCTCTACATTTTCACATTCTTCACTAGAAGGTCGTCACAACAAGTTAGTTTATCGGTGTATTTTGGTCTTACTTTTGCACTAGCGATTTGTGAGATTTTAGTTACTTATTTTACCCTTTTCCTTGCTATTTCGGTTTATTTTGTCAATGATATTACCGTATCGCAACCTTTTTTTTTTTCATAAAAGAAAAATGTCTCGTTACATGCTCGAGTAAAAGTAAATTGGTGTTGCGACAGAATTTTTACCGCAACAAAGCTGTCAATTACCTGTTCAGAGGTAAACATGGAAGAATGTTCGTTATTCTAGCTTGCCTTACCTTCACCAGTGCAAATGTTCGAACAACGTAGTCAGCAAAGTTCTCAGTTTTTTGTAAAGTGACTCTAATAGAGCCATACTTGGTGGTACTATCTGGCCAGTACTGGTCACACTTGCCCTGCGAAACACATGGAATACAAACTATGAAAAAGTATCTGCACAAATATGACAACTATTTGCAAAAAGAGACTAGTCCCTTCTAATTAATCTTGTCTGACTTCAACGAACAACATTAAATGCACGTTGACAAATGGTTAAAAATAAAAACAAGTATTGGTGAATATAAGAGCAAAGTAAAAGCCTACCTTTCCCACCTCAATCAAGTTGGTTAGCATGACAATCGTAACGCATTTCTCTTGCCAGATCATTCGCCAGAAATCACTACACGTCACAGAAGTTGGACCTTAGTGGAATAATAAGGAATCGTTCAAAACACACTACGAATAACCTCTAACAAACTTGTATAAAACGGTATATGGGGGCTGAGATTTTCGTGACAACTTCAAAATTCCATGATTTTAGAAGGGCTTTTATTCGTAACAACTAGTTTTAGAAAATGTGTTCAACACTTCTTGTAATATGAGCGGCTGCCTTTATACACGACATCACTTTCGTTGGCGAAAATTTGACGTTGCAAAAATTAATTATTAAGGCAATACCGAAAAATCGGATTACAGTTTCACCGTACATATATACCTCCTCCCAGATCTCAAGTGCCACATTCATTCTGATATTATCTCACCCCCCAACCCCCCAACCCCCTCCTCCCCCAGATATGAGCTTAAGTTTAGATCTAAAACAAAGGTATAAGTTCTCCCGATTGTACGCCTCCCATTGAAGAGCTGATTTACTTCGAATTTTGATTGGTTCATTTGTTTGTCTGCGTCCTTATTGATTGGTCAGAGTGATAACTTTGGTTTTGGTTTTACGCAACTCTATACGATGGTACACTGTAATAGCAACTGGACAAAGCACTTTTCTGTAGACATATATTTCGTGACAACCTGTTGCCAGATATCAATTACAGGTAATCAAACGGAAAGAAACGTTTTTCGCTTATCACTTAGCTTAGAATCAATCTTTTGCCGTATAATGAAAGATCTCGATATGATCTATCTGAAAAAGCCAAAAAGCCACCTTAAGCCAGGGAAATTTCAAATTAACTCCCCTTCTCTTACGAGCAGATTTGGATCTGCCACTAGGTGTGACCGTATTCTTCAGTCTTTCACTTACCTTGAGTAGCAATGTAGCACATAGTTTCCTCATCAAAAGTCTAGGAGAGACAACAAGACATTGTTGATTGACACAACCTTGGGCTTGACATCAGAAGCTACGAAATCACTGTACAGAACAGGGCGCTCCGTGGCGTAACACCTCTAGTTACCATTTTTTACTTCATGTTTTTCTTTTTCTAAATAATTCTGTCCTAACGTCTTTCGTTACAAAAAAAATCTATCCCTCAGTTATGCAACACAATAATGGAACAATAATGGGTCTGTATGGTCTAGGTCCACAGTAATTTTAGATGTGATAGAAATACTAGCAAATTGGTTTTCTTATCTCGTTATTTTATAAATTTTCTCGTTTTATATTAAAAAACGTCAAAAACGCCATGGTATCTATGTGATTATGTCAGTAGCAGAATCTCTATTACCTACCGGGATATAACTAGCGTTGATGTAGTCAGAATTTGGGTCACCTTCTACTTTCTCCAACACAACACGAGAATGATCATCTGTTAAGTAAAGCGCCTTCCATTAATTATGAAGTGCTTTGTTTAAAATATTTACATTTGGGAATTACAATGGTCTAAGGCGCATTTGAGTGTTGGAAAAGTGAAGTCTGGGTACAATGTTTGGCAAACCACACTGGATTTTTGGAAAACTTCAGTGGATGTTTGGTATTGCTCGACAAGGCTCGATATTCAGTACAAATATGGTTAGTCTACAATAAAATTGTGAATCCATCCCTTTTTATAGAGCTTGTACGTTCGATTATATACAATATTACTTATTACTAAAATAAATAAACATTTTACCTGTTTCTGTGGAGTTATAGAAACCCGAGTAGAAGTCTGGGAGAACGATAAACGCTCAGGGAACACGAGCACACAGGCGAGTGTTTCTCCTAAACGTTCAGGAGTGTTTCTATTAAACAATTAGATTATGAGCTCGAGATTTCTATCGCGTGATTTCTAACGTGTTGACGAGGGCGAATAATCTAATTGTTTTAGTATAAATCTATTAGTCGTTCAAGACTTTATCTAAATCCTCTTCACAGAAACCTCGAAAATGCAAATAAGCGGCCGTCATTTCGTTAAAAACTGAACACTGCTACGCTACTCCGCACTATATATCACAGAATAGATAGTGAGTAGCGTAGCCAATCAGAGAACAGCATTCGTGAAAGAATGCTAGTAGATTTATACTAAAACTCGATAGAAACAAAGTGAAAGTCCTTTTTGAAAGGACAATACTTAATTTTCGAAGACCTGCGAAAAAAAGCTTTCGCGAAAATTAACTACGCGAAATTTAATACCTTGTTATATAATTCTTTAATCAACAAGAATAGTAAGTCTTCACAGCCCCTTGACTAGCAGTGAGAGAAAGCGCTATGTTTCAAAAGGGTGGAAAGCAGGAGTTGTTGGGGTAGTTAAGCTCGACTCAGCTCTTCCTCTCGAGGATCCATTTGAAGACATTGATAACGTCCTTCAGCTGCAAGCACAAATCGACGGTGTCATGTACTCTTTATCATGTGATAGCTCTGCTTTGTTGCAAAGGAACATCACCAACTGTTTTCAGTTTCGTTTTATTATAAAGTTTTGTTCAGTGCAATGAGTATTTATTACTAAGGAAAATTAATCTGAAGTGTAGGAAAACTGCTGAACGCACTCCCGTCCATCATTTTCTTAGAGAACACGAAAAACCATTTTCTATTTGGTAAATATGTACTCACAGGTAGTTATGTTTCCGTAACGGTTTTTTATTTTGTTGTTCTTGCCAACTTCCCAGGGTAACTGCATACCTCCTGGTAAATTCTGAAAATAACAGGTACCAGACCTTATTTGGTTTGTTTAGTTCAGAATGTCAGAACTGTCATGCCCATGGTTTGGTCAGAAACAATATTGGATACTGTCATAAACGTGCAGTTATTATTGAGTGATATTCTGGAGCATCTGTTTACTAGTATACCATAACGGAATCACTTGTAACTCTAGAGAATGAACAATACATGTATATGTTTCAACAAGAGAAGAGGAGCACTGAAAATACCACAAAAAGAACAACTTAGCATTCATGTTACATTGTTGGCAGATGCAGCCCTACCTCTCACGACTGCTCTCCATAGAATGTTAGGATAGACCCCCACCTGATTTAACCCTTGCCTCATCTATCATGCCATTACCAGCTTAGCAGCAATCCTAATGTTATAGAAAAGCGTTTCAATAATTTCAATGCTCAATACGATACCCTTGACAGGGAGGTCTTTTCAAGCGAGTGCCGTAAAACCAAAACTAAAGTAATCACTCTGGCCAGTCACAAAGGACATACAGTGTAAGCATTCCAGTGTACCAATCACACCTCAAAGCAAGTACATGTGCTGTAGCTTGAAACCCAGGAAAATGTGTGCGAGTAGGTAAAGATCGTTTTTTTAAGTTTTTTAAGCCGATCGCTTAGCGTAGTAATGCAAAACCAAATAAAATGCAAACTACTTTCGACACTGAAGTGAAAACCACTCTACTCTGGATTGTAGAGACCACTAAAACCAACAAGCAATACGTGATCTTTAAAAACAGCATCAATTTCCCTCAGTCACGATAAGGAAGAAATAGCAGCAATAAAATAGTGAGGTAATAAAGAAAGGCTTACCTTAAATTCCTCCCGCAAAACAATTGCTCCATTACTTGACTTGTTCTTGAAGTATCTCGCAAACTCAGCCACAGGAATTGGTTTGGGTTTACCATCTTCAGCCTCGCTGTATATCAATTCATTTTCCTTAGGAGAAGATGGTTCCATGACATTTGAAGTACCTAGTCAAGTATAAACGTTTTATCCAATTGTTTTATTGTTACTATTGGTGGCCACACTTTTATCTGTTTCTAGTACTGTAAGTTATTTGGCTAACAAGGGCTAACAAGAACAGAGTTTCAATACCATTAAATAAATTCAACAACAAAAGCGATGGAGTTTTGGCGTAGAAAGGTTATATTGAAGAAAGGATCTACTTGACAAGTATTTTGGTGTAATCTATGTACAGTACTAACAACACCGTACCTTCTTCAGACGGTCGAATATCAACTAAATTCTCATAAACCAGATTGGCTGAGCTTGAAGTAATATCCGTTGACTCACTTCTCAAGTCTCCAAGTTGAAAAGGAGTCGCCCTCCCGTTGCTGCTTTTGTTTTCTGACCTCTTCCTTCTGAAAATCATAAAACAGTTTAAAAAAATATATTAAAAAGGTTCAGATATATTAACTGTCCATGTACATATATTTCGGAAACTATTGGGCAAAAACAACTTCCCGTAAAAAAGCAAATAAAGGTCAGAGAGCAGTCTTCAAATAAACACATGGAAATGTTTAAACCGATGACAACTCTTGAGGGGGGTCCTTCTTAACTACAGATTTAGAACAGTTGTTAAGGGTTTGCTGAAGGCGATATTTAGAGTAAGGCTATATTGGAGCGTTTTGCAGTGCTAAATGGTGAATTTTATACGAGGGAAAGTTTGCTTTGAAAAAAAAAAAAATGATTTCGCGTGCGTAACTAGAGCCAGTCCCAGACCGCGCGTTAAAATTTTAAATTCCTAAAACTTGAAAGAAAAGAGGAAGACTTCCGATTTTTCTTATGAATCAGAAATACCTTAGCCTTCTTTATGATCGTACGTGTGGAATTACTGTTTACACGTAGAAAGTCTGTCAATACGGGTGTTGATTACCTCATAACTTTTATGATAATGACTGTTTCATAAAACCCATACGTAGCATTAAGCATGTGGACGTTCTTAATCTATTGACACTAATTTAAAGTTTCGGAATTAGATGCTTTTTAAGTTTAAGGGTTTTTTTCTGTTGTGGTCACGTGACTGGTCAGATATGGCCGCGATTTGAAACTTTTGTAGGTCTGCATCACGCATTTTAGAGCACTTTAGAGCACACTCGAGTATTTTAGAGCACACTCGAAGAATTCGTAAATCACGAGCCGTAGGCGAGTGATTTACGAATTCTTCTCGTGTTCTTCCAACATCTCGCGTGGTTTATCAGCCTATAAGTCATAAAAACTTGTGGTCTATTGCTTAAATAATCTGGTCTCACTATGGCACACCAATGTATAGCATACCTTCGATAAAAAAGCACTGCAATGAGAACTGCTGGTATAAGGAGTATTAACAGCACCACAGGAACAGCAATCGCCGCAGCACTGACAGAATTAGAGCCCTTGGTTTTCTCTGTTGCTCCAACATCTTTAGTAAAAACTAAAATCCAAAAAACGATGTTAATTAGTTGTGAAATAAAAAAAAATTGTCGCTTAAAAAGGAAGTGCCATTTCGACTTACTTTTATATGCTTGCCATTACCATTGGAAATTATTGGTCTTAGAAGTAATAGTTAGACGCCCTTCAAAAACAGATAGAATAGTGTGAGATTTTACCCTAACTGAAGTATTACGATGAACTATACAACTTGCCTTTGTTGACAGATATTCTGGCAACTTTGCTGACTTTTCCGCTTAAAATAACCTAGGGAAAAGAAACGTAAAGAGGTTAGCAAACATTCCGCAGCCTTTAACAACTATGAATTAAATAATATAACTACAGTTACGGTATCTTCAACACAAATATTAGCGAAAGAAACACACGACGTTTTGACATCGTCGGATGTCATTGTCAAGTAAATATGTATATTTCTTTCGCTAATACTTGTGCTGAAAACATTCCCTCAAGCCTTACCTATTCGAGGTATGGCATCGCCGTTAGAATCCTATACTTTCCCTGGCGAAGACTGACGGTTGTGTTCAGTGAAAAACAGCTGCAGAGACATTACTTCGTGCGATAATTAAATGCAGCTTGAGACCAGTTTTGGTGTTTTTCTGTGGCTCTCATTAGATTAAACGAAAAGACTAGTATCAAGACGAGCACTTATCATTTAGATCAAAGGCCGCGTATAATGCTCGTCAAGCTACAGAGAATACTAAGGAGGAAAAAAAAATTAATGTTAACTTCAGTCTCTAATTCTTGTGTGGGTCGACTCTTGTGATAATCAGCAGGTATAGATTCACGTATCTTGCTTCAAGGGTCCGCAAACTTCAATATGGTATGTACATGTGCATATACAAAGATGCTAAAGCCATATCATGCCTTTGACCCGCTTAGGCCATTGTATTGTGGCCCACATACATTTACCCCTTGGGTGCCTGTAGATTTTCCAAGTTGGCTCTTGGCCAGAAAGTGTCACAATTTCTCAATGAATGGTTTTGGAATTAACTTGACCACACCTCCAAAGTGGGCTCTGGTACCATTTTGTTGAATTTGTTGTGCCGGTTTCTTTTTTTTTTTCAAAATTTATACTAACAATCTACTAATTATTGCAAGGATTTGTACCTTGTAAATAAAATTCTGCCCTAAATTCAAATTATTAGCAGACGTTTCGGGCCGGTCCTTAACTCACGAATCCATTTAGAATACCAATGTAGGATTAATTTATTTTGTACCACCCATTCAAGTCAAAATACCAATGGTGGTTTACTAATAAATTAGAGTAAATTAATTTATTCAAGTTCTCTTACATTCTTGTCATATGTGAGAGCTCTTTGGTAGATGACGTAGTCTTGTCCTGTCTCAAGTCCCTTATTTTCATAACCTCCATTCGTTTCGTCGTCACCAACAGTAAATTCCCAAGATTCTTCATGAACTGGAACATTTTGGATCTCAGCAGCAACATAAAAGTTTAAGTTGTCTTCGGTGGCATTGTTTACGTCTTTCAATTTCGAAGGATAGTCATTTGGAAGTTCTTCAGCTCCATCAACTACTTTCAGAACTATAACTTGATAAGCACTGAAATTAAGCAAATTGAGATTTTAGCTGAATTACATGTATGATGGTTGGCGCAGTCCATTGTGCAATTAGTAAATATCGAACTTAACCATGCATAGCATTCTGATAACGTTTGGATGAGTTTAGTAACTGAATGAAGACCATTATTTTTGGAAATCCACATCTACATAACAATCTAGACAATCAAAAGTCAGCCAAACAACAATGAACCAACAAATAACCGAAAATGGTATGTGTTCAAACAATTGTCACTGCACAGAACTGATTATTTACAGCCGGACTGTCCATGGAATGTTTCATTTTGGTAGACTGTTAGCCAGAAATTATAAGAAATGACATGCATAATTCAACGCTTGAAAAGAGTGCCGTCCCATTGTCTTGGACAAGTAGACTGTCCTTCTGGGCAAGTAAATTTTCATTCTCACTTGCCCAATGGGCAAAGGATCAGGAAAGTTGTCCACCAACTATATCATTAAAAGAGTGAACTAAGACTTGGCCAGGGCAAGCAAAATTTGAGAGCTACTTGTCTCAAGGGCAAGCTGGAATTTATGTTTTTTTTCAAGCCCTGATAATTGTACGTGTATACATGTATTCAATTTAGTTCGCACAATGGAGAGCACGGGTGACTAATGGGGGGGGGGGGGGGGGGGGGNTGAGTGAGTGTTAATGCATTTACAGGTATGAAGTAGAGAGGTTATATGACACATAAAATGAAGAGAAAGAAAATGAAGCTTGAACTTCCCTAAATTGCCATCCTGTTCTACCAGTAACAGAGCAAATTAGGCCAGCACCAATTACGATGAATTCGATCATTCTTGAGATTTCTATGTGAAAGTACTGTATGGACATTTTTAACAAGCTGCCTCGAAAAACTGTATTTGGGCAACACTCAGTAATGAATAATAAGAGAGATCACCTTATTGGGCCATTCCTTTGTTCTACAGGCCACAAACGAATCTTAACACTTGACTGGTTGACGTCTCTCTCCATCAAAGTAAGTACAACTGGAGCCATCGGGGCTAACAGGAAATGAAAAAAACAGTATACTACAGTAAACACC